TGTGCCGTCCTAACGCTTTTGTATGTACATTTAAACATGGCATGTGAGAACTGTCTGTTTTAAGTGATGTGCATGATACAGAATGAAAAAAAATAACCATATCCTTTGGCCTCATACTAGTAGCGAGGAGAACTGTTTTAGAAAGGCTGCTAAATTTTGTTGAGAATAAGACAAGGAGCAACTTTTGAAATTAGTTTTCTTGTTCTACGGTTTCAGCGGATTTTGTTCTGAAGTAGTTTTAAAAGTTATGGTACAGATTACACTTAGAAACATTTTGCAACACACTTTGATCCTATCCATTTTCCACTCAGTCAGTACCATGTGATTTAGACTAAGTGGTGTGAATTTGAAGTTGGTTCTTACCTGCAGAGTTGGATATCAGTAAAATGTGTTTTGGTGGTAAAACAAAAACGTACACCCATTCCTTTAATATTATGTGAACTGCATCTGAAAATGTTTGCACTGGGTTTTGAAAGTGTGATCTTGTACATAAGAGAAACAGTTTCTTATCCAATGTATAAACAATTGTTTTATTTAATGAATTCTGTTTGATCTGTTAAAGCATAATTGTTGTGAGAATAAAGCCTTTGAGGGAAAATAAATATATACTATGCTATTACAAAATGATCCTCTTTCTGTTACCTAATGCCTCACTTGAAAAATCCCAGAAAGGAGTAATGCTGCTCTAAAAACTTTTACTTTAAAAACAGACAAAAAAGCTGTGCTATGAAACCTGAATTAGAGATTACAGTGCATACTAGAATACCTTCTTGACAGAGAATTCACGGTTTTGAATAGGTGACTCTGCTGAAATCTTAATCTTTTTTACTTAAAATAGTTTTAAAGCCACAAAAGGTGGATAGGAAAATGGGCTGAGCTGATACAAACATATTTAACTTATATGAATTTTTCATTTGGGTATATTTTAACTATGCTATGTTGCAAGAGGCCACAATATAAATTACAAGATGTATGTCTGCAATAAGAAATACTGTTTCCTAGAAGCATAGTTTATTTTCATGTTATTTTCATGTCTTTATGTCTTTCAGAGTTTGTTTTCTTTTCCTTTTAAAATAAATTATTAATTAATGTAAACTTCAGAGTAATTTGTTTTTTCTCCATGTGCTTTAGAGGATTCATCACAAGAATGAGTACGAATATTATCTTTAGTTATTTCTTCAGTGATATTGCTCAGTGGTTTTCTAAGGACATTTTGTACTTCATCTTGAGTTGATTTCCCTAACTGTAGTTTCCATGAGATGAGAGTTACAGGAGTTTTATCATGCAAAAATACCTTTATTAACCAACAGAAAGAGTTTATCAAGTGAATTTCATGAAGGGAGAAAAAAAATTCTTTCAGAAAGTGAATAAAAGGCATGAATTCTGTGATGAGTGCTCTCTTAGTCTCTATTAAAACAGATTTTTTTTCTATAAATATTAAATATTAGGTGGTTGTAGATGCTTCAATAGGGTAATAGTGCGATCCTATGACTACTGAGAATTTTTCCCCCTCTTCTGGCTCTCTTGTTAATTTAAAATGCATAATGATGATGCTGTTTAATAGGAAGTGTTCTCAATTAATTGCTAGTGCTTCTGTGTGGCATTGTTGCTACTATCATTGCTGTGACGTAGAGGCCACTTCATATAAATTTTTGTTTAAATCTAATCTGTGTGCTGCTGAACTCTTCTACTTTCCTGTGTATTTCAGCCCAACTATTTGGAATTTTATCAGTTCATGCTGTGCTTATCTAGAGCTTTCAGTGAAAGCACATAATGAAGCTGGGGATCTCATAGCACAGACTTACTTTTTGGATATGAGGACAACTACCAGGTTTATGTCTTTTCTCTTTAGTCTCATTTATTCTGGCAGAGATTATGCTGCCAGAAAGTGACAAAAGATGCACTTTTAGTTCATTGTTCAAATAGTACAGGAAGCTAATATTGTTTCAGACTCCTCATGGAAGGAGGCTTTTTTTCTCAAAAAATACAAATTCTGTCAGCATTTACGTAACGTCAATGCATACTTGGATTTACAAAACAATAAAAGAAGTTAAATTGTAAAAGTCTGGAAATTCTGGTCATATGATAAAAAGCAATGGCACCAATCATTTTAAGACATATAACATCCTGTTTAGACATCAGTGATTGGTTCCCCTAGAAAAATATTCTTCTCATGTAAAACTCCGTATGAAAGAGACTACTGGAGAATCAGTGCGGGGTAATAGGAAATACAGTAATTCAAATTGTAATGCTTTTGTGGGGAAGATTAACTCCTTGACATGTACAGGGTTTTGAAGGTGAGCACAGCAGAGGCTGTTTAGAGGAATGTTTGTTTGAGTTCAAGTAAATCCCCTGAATCAATAGAAGTGCTTCTCCATTACAGGTTCTGAAGGGTCTGTAAGATAAGGCAGCCCAGAATAACCTGGGGGGATGGTTTTCCCAGGCGTGACTCTTTATCTGACTTGCTCTAGGTGAGAGCCTCAGCAGGTCATGGTGTTCCATAAACATCATTTTTGGATGAAATGCAAGTGGTTTTCTGCAATCCTGGCCTCAGTTTCACTACCTCACTGCAGTAGTTCAAAGTTTGCACATCTAGGATCAGAGAGAACTGAAGCAACCACTACTGAGACTGTTAGTCACACTTGCTCAGTGTCATTTACACACTAAATCAAGTGTGGAGCCATGTTAAGCCAATAGCTGTGAAAAATTGCTTCAAGAATCTACTGCATCTTTTGAGAAAGAAGAGATGGATATTCCTTTGCTTGCTGAATGCACCTTCATGGATAAGGGAGGTTTCTACTGTTGTTTTTAAATGTCATTGTCATCATTGTGCGTGCTAATAAAGGAATGCTTGATAACTGAATACAGCTGAAGGATGATACTAAAGAATAGTCTGGAGTAACAAGATGATGATAAGTACAAACAAAAACAACATTGGCTCTGTGAATCATAGAATGCTTCAAACTGGATGTACTCTGCTCTGGTCAGTGTTTGCACCTCAAATGAAGCAATAGGAATTTCCTGCTTGTCTTGGAAGAAGGCTCTGCTCACAGGAAATGCTAAGTCAGAATTGGTGCTGTCTGCTAGAACTCAACACAGCACTCCTGACGTCTTTAAGTTTCAAATCTGTCTCTTCCAGTGCTTGCAGCAGAGCAGGTTTGCACTGCCTTCATTCAGGTTTTATGGTTGAACTAATATTTTCCAATTAAGTCTTCACCTGATAAGTAGCTGCATATAGAGACCCACAGGAGTACTCACATACTGCTGAAGAACTCCAACAGTGCATCTTTGAAGAAAGTAATCGGTGCTACTGATTGTATATTAAAAAAAAAAATCAAATAAGAAATTGTTCATTTGTTTTTTTTCAACTCTTACCTTAGCATAAATAAAACAATTGTATAGATGAAAAAAAAGATTTTTTTTATCTTGCAGACATTTTATTATTCTTAAGTTCTGATTGCTATTGATCCAGTAGTTGATATGACATCAGTATGCAGGGCTTTATCTACTAACTTGCAGTGTCATCTCTATAGCAGCATGTCTTGTAAGTGTTGGACTTTGTGAATACCAACTTTGTAGATTGCAGCATTAGTAGAAGCACTGACCTTTGGTGTTAATGCTGAACAAATGTTTTGAGGAATAACTTATTTGAAGAAAAGAAAGCTTAAGGTCTGTTATCTTTGAGTGTGTGTTGAATTCAGAAAATGTTTTCTATTCTCATCTCTATTCCTCTTCCAGAAAGAAATAGAAATACTAAAGTAAAAAAAAAATCAATGCAAGTCTTTCAGAATAAACTGTTTCAGAATTTATACACAATTTTTTGATTTTTTAATTCATATTTGAAATTGAAAAGTTAATTAATGTACTTAGGATTTCCCATAAGTAAAAAATTACTGACATGCAGAAGATCTGCAGGAGCATGGTTTAACTCTGATTGTTTGAACTTACAGCTTTTATTATATTTAGAAATATCTTAATATCTAATGATTAAACATTTATGAACAAATCTCCTGTGAAAGTCTAAACCACTAGACTTCAGAAAGTATACAGTAAGATAAGTTGTGCAAGCTTCCCCATGGACCTCTGCCAGTGCATGGGAATCTGAATCTGAAAAAATCCTCTTTATTCATATTCTGGGCTCCTCAAGAATAGGATTTGGAGTGGTAAATGAAAATGAATTTTCATAATTTATTCTCATTTGAAAGCAAATCTTGTTCGAAATCTTATGTCTTGTTGAGAAAACACAGTGAGCTTAACTCTGTCTTGTCTGGCCTCTCTGTTCTTAAGAAAAGAGAAACCATTCTCCAGCAAAGGAGTAGCAGTTTTCATTGTCGTGTTCAACAATTTTCAGATTTTTGTGTCTTTTTAAGATGTTTTCTTAAGTATACAGCTGAGGAGACCAATAACAAAAAAGAAAAATCCATAAATGATGAAAGGATTTCTCTTGGCTTAGTAGTTAACATAATAGTTTGAAAAGAAAAGAATTTACAAGTGCTTGTTCAAATGCACTGTTCTATACAGTGAATAAAATAAACAGCAAGATGTGTTGTGATAGGGACTCAGATGATCAAAGAGAACTACTGAATAGACATACTTATTCTTTCAGATAAAATAAGGAAGTAATTCCTTTGAGAGTTTTTGTGATCTGTTGGAAAACTTTGTGTGCATTCCTTGGAAATTCAGTGAAGAGAGAAGCAATACAGGCTAGATAATAGCGTCAGCTCTGAGCACGAGGTGGCATGTGGACATTGCTCGAGCTATTTCTCCAAATCATTTGAATGAAAATATTGGATTAGTTAACCTTGTGTCAGGTCTGTTAGTTAAATACACCCTCCAACTGTTTCTGACTGAAGGATGCGTAGTTGTGATTGAAAGATGCTGCTGCTTTTCATTAGAATTTTGTCAAACATATCCTGCTAACATAATGATATTAAAATAAAATGATTTATTCGGTGGAAGAGGATAACAAGCAAAAAATTCACAGCCTTTTCTTTTCGCAGGGTGTTTCAGCGCAGTAGGAAACCCTCTTAGCCGAACACTATTGGGCAGAATACAGATGGTAAGGAATTCTATCTTTGCATTTTTTTTTAAATTGATGTCTAACTATAAAATGTCATTATTCACAAGTTTTCATTGTAGAGAGGTTTTCTTTTTATCCTGCCCTTATTCACAAAAAAAGTATATTCAAGCAAATCGTCTGTATGGGCAAATAAGGTTTTTTTGCAGGTAGCTGATTGAGAGATCAGGTATTTGTAAATTGAACCTTTTTTAAAATCATTTATTTATTGCTGTTTAGAAATAAATCGAGAAGTAGAGAAAAATGGAGCAAGAACTTGAAATTAAATCCTGTGTTTTTACTGTTTGTTAATATTTCACCTATTTTAACAAATGATATCGCAACTATTCTCCATTAATTTAATGGCTTCTCGGTAAGTCTCATTGAAAACTTATAGTAATTTTTCCCTTTCTTATATTTCTCATTTCCTGAAATCATGGTAATAAAAAACAACAGAATCTGTAATGCCATTACTTCCAACTCATTAACCTGGATTGATCATAATGGGGACTAGTGATGGAAGAGTGAGTTTGTTCTGGACTGAAATTACACGAGGCTCTGGATGACTTGGGCCTGTTGTACTCGGATGTTAATGCTCCGTCCCCTCATGTATGGAATACCATGATTTAATATTCTGTGTTAATAAAGTTATGGAAGGCTTGTAAGACACATGGGATTCACCAAGTAATTTTGAAACTGCAGTTTTACATCGCTATTTCTTTGTTGACTAAATGCTTATTGTTTATGCATTTCCAATTTTTTAACTCTCATATAATTGTTACGAATATGTATGCATTCATTTTTCAGTTGGTATGTTAGTTTTCTGTGCCACAGAAAGCTTTACAAACAAATAGAAGATCAACTAAATAGTAAATAGCAGCTAATTTTAAATATTTCTTTTTTCCTGAGGGTTAGATTAAGGGTTTTAATGTTTTTGTTACATTTTCTGGTGTATAAATAATAATATGCAGAAATATGTATGTGTTGCAAGTACAATTAAACCAAGTTGTTTTTAATCAAGCAAGTAAAATATTGACAAATGACAGAACAGCTTTCGAATAACTTCAGGAGCTCGAGTATTCTCCATACATCTGAATTGATCCTTTTTTTTTTTTTTTTTTAAATTTTCTCTCTCTTTTTCTTTTTTATTTTCCTAGCCCTGTGGGCTTTACTGCAGCAGCTGTGTTTGCATTTCTGTTTTCTGTTTGTACATTGCAGGTTTCAATAAAGTGCAACCTGGCACAGGTTGTTTTCTTTTTTTTTTTTTTTCCTCTAGGCAGATTATAGATTCCCATGCTCATTAAATATTGAAGAGCTGTAATCAAATAAGGAATGTAGTCATCTGAAGCCTAAGGAAGTAACTTTACAGTAGTTTTCTGACAGCAGACAGATTCATTAAAAGACCAAAGAAGAGTACATTATTCTTAGCAGTTAATGCTTTTAGAATCATTTTAATTTAGCTATTAATGCCGTCCTTGTCATTCTGTTTCCTGTAGACTGAATTTGTGCGGTTAAGTGTCCTTAGCTGAGTGTGTGTTGACAATTAATTGGACCAGAGAACATGAACAAAAATGTGACAGTGCTAACAGTATTCAATTATTTTATGTTAAGTCTCAGCTTATTTAGTATTTCATTTAAAACTTCAGTTACTGGAGTAAAGAGTTTGCATGACATTCTTAAGGAAGGAAAGGATTAAGTTAATTTCTAACCCTCGACTTTATAAGGAAAAATGAAAACAATGTGGTAACTGTAAACGTTCTGATTGACTCTGTAAGTTTTAAAAATGCATTAAATGTTATCAGATTTTGATGCCAGTCTCAGAACTTTGGCTGTTAAGCTCTGAGGTACAGATCTGTTGACCAGACAAGGGAAGCTTTGACATTGATTCCCAGTGTCCTTGCTGGAGTGTCTGCACAAGCTCTCCAGCTTCTCTTACATCTTGCAAAGAACAGGTGTAGGGAGGTGGAGAGAAGCAGTGGCAACTGTGCAGCATCCAAGGAAGAGATGATGTCCTCCTTCATGTCACTGGGTCAGTCCTTTCAACAGGAACAGAGCAGAGGTTGACTTGAGCCCTGGATTTACAGTCATTGTATTCACCATGTTTGTGTAGTGTATGCCTAAGACTGATCTTAGACAAGTTTATTTTTTAAATTGAGTAAGTAGGAGTTAATGACTAAATGTCATATATCTTGATTTTTATGTTTATTCTGACAGTAAAGAATTTGTTTGCATATAAGGAAGAAGCATATGAAACCACCAGTAAACTTTAAAATTTTCCATGATTTTTTTCTTTAAATTTAAATACTTCTTGTATTTGAAATATAGAAATAAAATGCTGGTTATTTTTTTTAAACAGAAAAGACAGTGATAACACATCACTTGTTCTTATTCAAAGCTGCTTCTCATAAGGCTATGAACACTATCTGCTATCTGATGCCCAAATCTTGCTGGCCACCTTATATCTCTCTGAATAAAAGCAAAACCTCCATTACCACAATCACTGAAACCACTCAGTTATGGAGAAGCCATAAACATTTTAATTAGCGCTGTTACTATCAGCTTACTCTTACCTGAAACGCTCTCTTATTATTAGTTCTTAAAATGTTTCCTGTTTTTCTTAGAAATATCTCAGTTATCCACGTGGACGTATTGTGGATAATCAATATCATGTTCCATGGTCTGGAGCTGGTCCATTTGTCTTTGTCTGAGGATGTTCCTTATGCTGAAAGTTCCTTGCAGTTTTGTTTGAGCCAAATCAATGTGACATGGCAGGCTTTTTTCCCTCACAAATGGTCTACTTTAAGCTGCACTTTAAGAGCAGCTCCTAAGAACTTATCTTCAGGCCTCACATCTGTTTGGATGGAAGAGAAGGATTAATTAGTTTCCAGCTTGCATTAAAAAAGAAGACACTAATACTAAGAACAATGTATTCACATGCAACAGTATACCTGTTGCTTTACTGCAATCCTGAAAATGTAGCTTACTGTTGTGACGCAGCACTAAAAAAATAACATTCTTAAACTGAACAGGCAGTTGTTTGCACCAGGTTTTTCTTGCGGAGTACCTGGTAGTTAGCAATATTTGATGAAAAACATGGCACTGCAGAGCCAGCTTTGGTACCGTGCAGGGTTGGCATGCCTGTGGTAAGCAGCCACGGCAATTTCCCGGCTGGTGCAGCAGCCAGCTGCCACCAGGACTGCCAGTGCGGTTAGGGGCAGCTGGGCCCTGCTCCCTGGGCCTCTTTAAGAAGAAACTCTCTGGATTGTTGTTGCCTTAGAAGTTTAACACGGTGTCTGAGAACATTCAGCATAGTCTCAGGATGACTCATGGATTTCAGATTGTTATTTCCAAACTACTCGCTCTCTTCAAGGTCTTCTTACACTGAATGTTTGAAAGCGCATAAATACTTCATTAAAAAGAGAGAGACAGATTGAGACACAACAATGGGGCAATGTGAGTACCTGAACTAGATACCTAAATAATACTGCTAATAATTCTGATGAATCATTTTTGAGCAACAGGAGGCACTCCCATCCCACAGGCTAAGCACGTTGCCTACACAGTTCTCTTAACCTTGACGGTGAAAAATGAGAAATAGCTGAAACCTGTAAGGCACTGCTAGCTACCAGTAGACCACTGATCATGCCTCATACTCTGAACTGTGCTTCCACTGTTCTTTGCTGAAAATTTGCTTATCAAATCAGGCAGTTACTTTATTTTTTTAAATTCTCCTTTGTGTATACGCATAATTATTCAGAATTGTAGTAGGGTAGTAGGCTTAGTTGTTTTGGTAAATTTTAAGAACTGAGTGCAACTGTTCACTTTTATATTGCATTCATCAGTATGCAATTGTGTGTATGTAACTATGGCGATGATGCCTGGAGATGAGATGGAACCTTGGTTTTCAGGAGCCTTGATTTTCAGGAGCATTTCACCTATATGATAAGCTTAGCAAAGTTAAGAAAGCAATATGTAAGGGCAAGAATCTCTGTCACAGAGAATGCTGTTTACTCTGCTGAAGATTGTAATAATGATGTTGCTTGGATCAAACAAATTAAGAAATAGAAAATAAAAGAAGTTGGGTAGAAATTCTCAAATTTCAATGTTGTTTGCAATGTGGCACAATCTGTTATGGGTGGAAATGTTGTTTACTTCACATTATTCACATTTGATTCTTCTCTTCTAAAATAGTTTTACTACTATGTAATATTTGTTCCACACTGTAGTTAGTATCCTTTGATGCATGCAAAATCTAGGGAAAACTGGTTTCTCCTTTCTGAAAACAGGCCATTGGAAAAAATTAGGCAAAAAAACTTCCATCTCTTCCATTTTTCTTTCTTTTTTTTTTCTGCTAGTTTTCACTGTATTTCTATTTTATATTTTGTTGCGAATTAAGGGCTGTTTTTTTTTTAATAGAAACCGAGTTTTGTAAGTACTGGCACATCCTAATGATTGCCTTATATATGCAGTGGTATTCCTGTGGCTTTACTGGAAGTCTGAAGAGTTAAGTGGCAAAGATGGAGCTATTAGAACTGAATGTTTAAGTATTGGTTATTAAAACCAGCCTGAAATTCTTCCTTATGTGAAAGTGAAATCTTCTGCATACCAGTTCAGAGGTAAAGTTCACTGCAATGATTTCTTAAGCATCTACTGTAATATTTGCAGTGCAGACAAGCTTAGACTGTATAATCGTCAATCCTCTGTCCTCCCACATGTTGTCTTTAGTGCAGCATACACATTTGAAAAGCTTTTTAAGTTCTATAAGTATCTACATAGCCAGCATTACTCTGGATTGCTCAACATCACTTCTGCTTTTTCTTTTTTTGAAAAAACATTTTTATTGCAGATTTTTTTTAGAATAGGCATGGCATATGGAAGAAGTGTAAAATTGTAGTTTATCAATAGCCTTTAATACTGTGCTATAATATTTCATCTTCTAGAGTGATGACCATCTAGCTGCACTGGGGGAAAGAGGAGGAAGCAGTGGTCTGCTTGAGCAAGAGACAGTAAGTATTATGTAATTTTTTGCAGTATCTCTATACCTGTCACACTGGACCTGTGTCTTTGAAAGCACTTGTGTTTTTTTAGCATGAATTAACGATTTTTTTTTTTGCCACCCTAGATTTTCCTTGTCACTGTACAGTGTTCATAACCATCTTACTGGTGGTTTTACATCATTTCTGAAAAATGATTTTTTAAAATGTTGATGGATATAGATTTTTTTTTTCTTGAATTTGAACTCAGACAACATTTAACAAATATCTGAATGTCACATCAGGAGAAATTCCATTGCTTTGGGCATAATTACGAGGTCCTTTACATTCTTCTTTGGTCCTGAGATACATTTCCTGTATTCCTCTCATGCTTATTTTCTGGTTATTTATCGCTAGAGAATATTATGGCAATTTCCACATTTCATTTAAACTGTCAGGCTTGCTAAACCAGTTGTATTACAGGACACATTGGTATTTTAATTTTTTATTGAAGAGACAGAAGTAAGTGGGACTTGCTTGGTTAGTTTGAACAGTTTGTTGGCAGTGTTTCCATGTTAATTAATTTTTGTGATTTTTTTCCAAACAACAAAACATTTGCACTAATGCTATCTTACAAAAGGCACTGCAAAAAGAAATAAGCGTTACTCTGCCTTTCATTCTGCCAAATGGTTAGCATAAAATTCCTTTTACCTTAAGTGACCTCATGATTTTCATAGTACTATTACTAAGAAAACCTTAACCATTGAGCTGAAGTGGGCATTGTTAGAGCACCCCTTACTGGGCACGATCATGTAAGCTTCCAGTTCTGCACTGATTCTGTATGGAGCTCTGTAGTGCATTTTAATATGGTTCTATTCTATTTTTTCATTTGTATTTCTATACTCAATATCACTTGTAATTGCTGCAGTATCTTTCTTAATGCTAGGAGGAGAATTATGACAGAAGATGGTCCTTGTTTAACTACTTATATTTAAGTTCATGCTTACTGAATGCACATTTAGATAAATCTCTTGTATACCTACAGCTGTGGTGATATTACTTCTTTGTTGCCAACCAGCTCACAAATTACCACATACAGTTTTCAGTGGTAAAAGCGTTTTCATATTTTCCCATTCATAAGTGATTCATCAGTGAAGTGCAAGTATGAAAATATAAATGACATTGGCTATATTTTTACACACATAACTCATAGGTGATCATACTGAAAATAGAAATAACAAATATGAAAAACACTGCAGTTCAGCACTCTTCAGATTTAAATGCAAGCATAGGTAATTAAAAAAAAAATTGTGCAAATCTCCATTCGCACAGTAACTTTACTGTCTTTAGTACCCTATATCCTTCTGTCACTCCCTAACAATCCCTGTTCCTTATCTTTTTATTTATGATTTCATAAAGGTGAGGATTCTATATAGGGGAATAGTGCCCTTTGTATAAAGAAGTCATGTTTATGATCTTCACTTACAATGAGAGAAGTGAGCAATTCCTCTCTTCTTTCAGTTCACCTCTTTTCAGTCATTTCTGGCTCTGAATTTGTCAGAACAGATTTTTGTTCACAGAGCATAGGAAATAAATAAGAAATTATATTTTATATTTTCACATTCAGAGTAGAAAGCAAGCTTCTGGCAATGTATTCTATGTAGTGTGCATGGTGCTGACCACTGTTTGCACTTTCATCCTGAAAAGTATCGATGTCCTGTTTTTCACTGACAAATGGCTTTGTTATGTGAGTAGAATATACACCAATTTTTTGCAGATATTTATAAAATACTTTATGCAAATGTGTATTTCCAAAGAAACAAGAAAAATGTGAAGTGATCAAAGCAAAACTTTACAATAACATTTTTCCACTGAACTTTTCCTTCTGGTAAAACTGTAGCACTGCTGAAGTATTTATTTGAACACATATGCTTCATACGCACTCAGAGTGGGATCTGAAGGTGGTGTAACAATTCTGAGAAAGTGAATGTATGAAGTGTTTTTTTTCTTTTGCTTCACAAGTAAATTGCTTATAAAACTAACAGCTGCTGTTTTGAAGCTAATCTTAGTGAATTGAATGTTCTTAACCATTTCTAAAATCCCACAGTCCTTTATCTTGCCTCTCCTGCTGCTTTCCCACCACCCCTGATCCCATTAGCAAAACTTGAGACAGCCTCAGCTTTTACCAAAGTGCAGCTTTGGTTTCAGCTGCTTTTCTGCAAGAGGAAGTGAATGTTGTGCTTTTTTCTCTGTGGCACAGTTGTGATAAAGCTGTGGTGCTCTTATCTCTCTTTTAGGTAGTGGCTCTTTATGACTACACAGCGCATCGATCAGATGAGCTAACCATCCATCGCAGTGACATTATCCAAGTGTTATACAAAGATAATGATAACTGGTGGTTTGGCAGCCTAGCAAATGGACAGCAAGGCTATTTTCCAGCTAATTATGTGGCTGGTGAAAGTAAGTTTACTGCTGTCTTCCTGGTATACTGATGTGGGTTTAACTGATGGTATAAGATTTTACCATGCTGTACTGCTTATTATTTTGAAAATTTGAGTTTATGTAGCACACAGGTGGCATAACGATGATTTATTATGATGCAGAAATCATATAAAGTTAGCTAACCATGTAGCAAGTTGACATACCTGACTTTAGAATATATTGATGCTTAGTTAAACATTCCTGCTTAAATTGTACTGGCTTGATTATCAGTAAACTGGATTGATTCCTCATCCCTTCTTACATATAACCTCCTGATTCGTGCCCTACCTTGGCAATATTTTAGAACATATTTTAGCATTTCACTGGCATCTTAGCTTTTTTAGGCAATATCTGTTAGATCTAACCGATTGCATCTTGTAAAAACTCTTGTTTCCTCCACCCCCCAGCTCTTATGGAGAACGCTGTTTCCAGATAGACGAATTCCATTATGAAGTTTTAAAAGAACAATCATGGTTAAATCTTGCATCTGAGCACTGAACTTGCTACCAGGCTCTTGTAATTAAAGTGGTTAGGATTAAACTAATGCAACTGAACAAATAATGTAGGAGTCATCCTAATGAGTCAACTGACATAAAGGTGTTCAGTGTCCTGTCAGTTATTAGTATCCACTTTATGAATATAGCATGTGATTACATGCTACAGGAAATACATTTGCTTTCCTAAACTATCAAGCTATCAGTTATACTGATATTTAGAAATCTTTTAACCCAATGTTTCTCAAGATGTTCTCCTCCATTTTCTAGTTCCTTCCTCTGTCTTCCAAGTGAACTCTATTATCTATGCCTCTTCCTTTAAAAACTTGGACATACTACTGTGCTAACTAGATGATGCTACTTAAAATTAGCTGAACCGACATCCTTCTCCTTTGTCCTCCCCTCACACATCCTGTGCATTTTCTCCTTCCTCTCTTTCTTGCAAAATAAGCCAGAGACCTATTTAAATTCAGAGGCCTGAGTTTAAATCTAAACATACTAATATAAATAAAATGAATGGGCAAGTTTTGACCAGTTACCTTACAAAGTATCGCTTCAAAGTTTTTTTTACTTTAGTTCACATACAATTATTGGCTAGTAATGTCACAGTTGTTCATATAAATTAGATACTTCTCTTATTGTTTCATAGTGCTCACAATGGTGAATTATGATTTCTGTTTTCAGAAGAATATGCAGAACAGCCTTCAGGACTAGTATCAGACTGTGCTCCTCTTCTACCCAAAGGACCTGAAGAAATAGAGAAAAGTTCCCCGATACCCCATAAGGTATTAATTTGAGAAGAAAGGATTTTTTCTACAGTAGTGATGGAGTATGTCCTTTGTATGCCAGGTGGACTGTATTAATTTTCCTTCTTTTTTACAAAAATTGTGACATGTAGACTTCATTCTAGGACAGCAGATAGAGGTTTGTTTGTTTGTTTGTTTTTTTCCAGGAGATATCTAACATTCATTTCTTGTGTGGATCTGTTTTGTCATGTGGCAATTAAATACTCTACCTTACTCTTGCATCATTATAATGAGCACCTAAACTACCTTTGTCTCCAAAGCTGACAGAAGTATCTAATAGCTACCCAGCAGAAGTAACTGTTGAAGGAACAACATGGATTTGTCAAAACCTGACATATTTTCTGTCATTTGCTTGTCCTTCCTGTAATATGCACTGCTCACAGATTCTTCAAACTTTTTGCTATGAGATTTCCATATCTATCTATCAGGTCGCTTAGAGAAGGAAAAGAAAAAATGCTGTGATGTTTTCTCTCGAGAGTTTTTTTTCATCTATTTAGTACTTTCCTAATTAAGATAGGTAATGTCATCATAAAGCCTCATTACCAGACCATGCAATACCCTTCATGCAAACCTACTTACTTGTCAGTGGATGTTTCTGTTTAAAAGCTGCTGATGGTCCTCTGATGTGAATGACTGCTCCCATCCTATACGTTATTCAGGAGGATACACTGCAGCAACACTATAGTTTGAACGAACAAAGGAAATAAATATCAAGAAACCTTAAAGAAAACAATATAAGGCTTTTTTATGACTCCACCCCTTTTTCTCAAATCCAGGTGTAATTGTTTTCTGCGGTAATATGTAAGATACTACTTAGTACTTCCAGAGGTTGCCTCTTTGGTTAATTATTTTTATCCCTAAAGGATGTTCTAAGTAATTAAATAGGAATATTTACCAGTAATTAAGGCTTTTGTCATGACGAGATCTAACATCACTCTCATAGTAAACAGCTTTTGAGTTGCAGTTACATATAACGTTTTGTTTACATACTACATACTTTTTTTGCACGCAGAAATATTCCTACTTTTGTTATTATAGTTAAAAGTCAGAATGCAGTTAGAACAGCAACCAGAAGTTAGAGAAAATGTATGTAAAGGGGAAAAAAAAAAAGTAGGATGTTCGTTGTTTTTTTTTAATGTTTAGAGTGCAAAGCTGTGCAAAGCTTGCCAAAGGATTCTCATGTCTCAAGACTGTGATCAGAAACTTTGTGTAGTTTATTTTCCCCTTCTGCAAAGTAGGGTTTATGATTGTCTTACACCAAAGGATAGTTTTTAAGCAAAGAAGTGATAGAAATGAATAACTGTTAGAATTTAAGAATTATATTTTATTCCAATACGTTTGTACTTCTCCTAAGTATTCTTTCCACAGCTACTCATTTAGTCAAATGCTACCAATATCTCTGATTTTAAAAGGACTTCTGTTCAGATGCCTCGAAGGTGGCTTGACTTCCCCATGTACTTCTCGAAAATTGAGTATAATATTTCATCTTATTTGCAGGACCTAACGTATGCAGTGTCTTGGTTACTTTTTTCTTTTATCAGATGATTTATCTTTGCTACATGATGTATGTTGTAATGTTGAAGGTTAAAACACTCAGAGCCACTTGTATTAACCTATTCTGTGCAACTTTGTTTTTATATACGTGAATAGGGAGGTAGCATTCAATAAATTATTTAGTGCAGATTACTCACTTGGCAGTCTTATTGAAGCCAACTGTCTTGTTGAAGCCAGCTGCTGTAAATTGAATTACTGAGTGTTGTTTCTAACTATACTTTAAAAATGAAATTAATCACTACACCAAGTAGTAGTAATTAATCTGAAGTATCTGTTACCACTTGGTAGCTGAAAAACTCATAGCCAAACCATTGTCCCATAAAGGCAGGGGTGATTTACTTCCAGATATGTGATCTTCTCTAAATATGGAACAAATATAAGAAAAATAACTACATTACTGGAAAGCATGAAGATTTCATTTAACTGTTATCTGCATTACCAGAGGCAAAGGTATCACAGAGGGAATATGTTGCTATGCTCTGTTTCACACATAACAGATTAGAAAGAAACGGAGAAGAGCTGAGCTATATACTGTCATTTAAGACTTAATAATCTTTATCTTAATTTTTTTTTCTGTTTCAGTTTAATAGAAATCTAGTTTGTTTACTAGTTTACAGTTAAGCATGCTGCCCAATGTTAATTGGTTACTAAACAATACTAACCAGTACTAACTAATACAACTGGTATTTATTATTCAACTTTATGAGAAATAATGTTTGATTATTTTAGATTTTGTCAAATGTCTGTAGCTGACATACTGTTCTAACAGTAGTTTTTGTATTACTAGTAACACTTCCAGTAGCGCTTAATTTTAGTAATTTTTCACTGAGATTTTCTTTACTCTGTTCTGCTGGCACTTCAAATTAAATTGAAAAATTTAAATTTAATCATTAGTTTGAATTTTCTAGTAAAGCACATGTAATACATACATATATTCAAATGCATAAGGTTGCAGTAGTAGTCCAGGCAGATGTGTTGCTTTTCATCTTGAGTAGCATTAAACACTGCCACAAAAGAGAAAAGTGCTAGAAAAAATGGTATAGGAGAATATACTTAGCAATATTAAACAATGAGCAATGAGGAAGAGAGTAAATAAAATAATACTTGGTGTAGAGAGGTGTACTGGATGCATCCTCCTTTCTCCTCCCTTTTGTTAAACAAGATCTGGGAGAATTAAGCCATGATGGAGCGAACATAGTGTTGTAGAAGGAAATTTTTGTTTTTGTTTAATTGATCTGGTGAACTATCTGCTACAAGATGCTATTAAAACTTAGACATTCACAGATATATATATTTTTTTCATATCAAAGCTTAGGCTAAGATAATGACTAAAATTCCAAAAGCAACTAAATAACTGAAAAACACAAATCTAGTTGATTTTTTTTCCAAGTTACGTAAGTATTTAGTGTACTGACGTATACATTGTATAACTCACCAAAAAGATAGTGAGTTGGAGTTACAGCAAATGAGTCAATTCTCTGTGGGAAGCGTGAGATGACTTGAAGTGTAATGGTTTTAACAAGAGCTGCTGAGTGCTGCATAAAAGAAGCAAACTGTCAATGAGCTGTTTGTCATAGTGAAGTTCTACAGAGGTTTGGCTTTCAGCAATACCAGATACTTCTCAGACAAAACTGCTAAGAGGACCACTGAGGGGCTGATCAGTTATGGCAGTTCCTGTGTTGCAGCAGTGACACAGCAACTTTTCTTCCTATTCTTTTCATTTTTTCATTATTAGAGCTGAAAAGAAACACCAATTTCTTCTACGTGATAAATATGAAAAATCATTGTTCTGTAATACCAAAAAAAAATAGCCTATTTTCTCTGGGAGAAAAAAAAAAAAAAAGAATAATTAAGTCATTGCTTAAGTTGTTAGCACAGACTAGAAAATATAAGTAAATGTTTTTTTGTTGAGCTTCTTTTTTGGCCACAAGCATGCTTTCCTAGATACTTATATCCAGGTCTGATGTGCCTCTTGTTCTTCATGTATTTTTTTGAGGAATGCTGAAATATTTAGTTCTGTTAAGACTGTAGAAATAAAAAAAAAGTCTAAAAAGTAAATAAAGAATACTTTAGTTCTAATCACTGAGAATACCAGATAGTCTTTTTAAAACTAGTTTTCCAACTGCAAGTATTATAAGCACATGTATCTAACTAATCATCAGAATTTACGATGAGTGAATAAAATGCAATCATTAACATTAGAAGGGTATGCAATACTTAGGATCTAACATTAATCTTTGCAAATGCAGACCATTTTCCTGTAGTTCAAAGAGCTTTCAAAATTATTTCTAGCATCGGCTTTGCATTCATAATATAATAATTTTATGCAAACCTTGTTTTCCTGCGTTATGAGTTACTTAACTCCTGAGCCACAAAATTAAGTCATAATCATCTTTAATTACAACATACATTTAAACTGCCAATAGAGATTTCGTGGAGTGAAGTTCTCACTATGCTGTTGAAGAATCCCAAGAAATGGAAATAGACCTGTCATCCAGCTGCAATACATCTACTGTTTTCAGGTTCCTTAAGGTGAAAGCAGAAAAGGCAGGAGTTCAGATAGTTTTCAGTTAGAAATGAGAATTTGTGATTTTTCAAAACTTTCGCAAGTCTGAGATACTTCATTTTTTGACCAGAAATTTTCTACTGTCTAAAAATGTTGTGAATACCTTTTATTACTTGGTGTCCTACCATGTATTCTTTAAACTGAATCCAAAAGGATTCTGAATGTTAAGTATTTCAGTTTGAGGTTATGTAGTAATAATAGGGAGGAGTGATGAAAAATAAACAAATCAGTAACTTAAAATATCCATACAAACTGTAAGAAAATATTTTTTTCTAGTATATGTATCTTGGAAAAGTGAAGTCAAGGTATAAAATAATGTTTGTATGCATGAAAAGAGATGGTTTACTTCCTAGAACTACATTGTTATTGCATGGTTTGGATAATCTGACTAGAGATGATCAAAATTTGACTTCATGTATATTTAAACAAGATTTGAGATTATCACTGTGTTCACATAAATAATTCACATTCTCACTCTTTTTTTTTTTTTTTTTTCCCCAGAGCAGGTTATTAGACTTAGCCCCACATCTGTAGAATTAACCTGCCAATCTATTGAGGCTTTTCTTCCAGGCTTAAGCTCACTCAGTGTGGTTGGATGTTTTTGTGTATTCAAAATTTATTAATTTTATTTAAAAATTAAAAGGCATAGAAAGCTTACTCAACAGTATTTCCAAAAATACTAGCTAGAGACTTTGCTAGTAGTTCAGTCAAAACAGCATCATGTTATAGTTTATTCTGCTTCAATATTCTTCTTTGTGTCTTTCTTCTAGTTACTGGGAAACACTTCAGTGACCAATTATCTGTTTGGCCAAACAAGAATAAGGAAAAACAGAATTTCAAAGGAGGACACATTTTAAAA